TTTTGATGTTCCAGACACCTAATTTGTTTATGATTTAGTGGAAAAGGTAGGAAAAGTAGGAAGTATGGACAAGGTAGCGAAATGGGCCCCTTCCTCGCCCATTTCCGTGAGGTCCAGCCTCTCCACAAGGGAGCAACGACCCCTCCGAGGCCCCATAGGGGACTGTGTTTTTTTTTTATTATGGAGAACCCCTGAGTCCTGCGGCTGTCGCACACAGCGGCGAGTGGCGGAGAACCTCTGCCCGCCAAACGACGCGTTCGTATTCACGTTTTGCTCGGCTACGACGGAATTCGCATTGTCGACGGTGTCGATGATCACAATACGCTACTTCCAGACTCGCCGTTATGCATTGTGCATCTCTCTACTCATCTCTGTTGTATCTACTGCCGATATATCTGCAACAATAAGAATATATAATGATTAATAAAGTGTCACAGGAAGATTCTGATTGGGAGGGAAACATGGAAGTTCATGAACTTGTGGTGTAATGGCGACCTCATCTCCGTTTCGTAACACAGCATTGAACAATGGTCATAGCCATTGTTGAACACTAGCGCTATTCCTACAATATGGCCAAGCATTCACTTAGCATTTGACACGTATGTCGTTCTATCTCGTTTGAGAATTTTAAATGCTGATTGTATATATACTGTTGTCGATTCTATAATTCTACATAAATTAAATTGAAAATCAGGTACGTAAATTGATATTTCTGTAATAATAACCATGATGTCTTAATATTACACAGAATGTATGACTAGGACCAACTCTTGCCATAACCTGAAGCATAACAATCATATTAATTACTGCAAATAGGACTGCTTATAACATTTTTTAATGAAGATACTATCTGCCTGTTGCAGAAATTATTCGACATTTAAAGACTTATTTTTGTTCTATAGATTTAAAAATACTGAGATAGTGTGGAAAGCTAGAAGATCAAGTTTTAAAAATGAGTTCTGTTGTGGAACAACCTTGTTACACCCTTATAAATATACCTTCGGATGCAGAGCCATTAAATGAGCTCCAGTTAAAGCAAGATCTGGAGAAGGGCGATGTGAATGTTAAGGTTGAAGCCCTGAAGAAGACCATCCATATGATAATAAGCGGAGAGAGACTTCCTGGTCTTTTGATGACCATTATACGATTTGTCCTACCTCTACAGGACCATACGATCAAGAAACTCCTCCTTATATTTTGGGAAATTGTCCCAAAGACTTCGCCCGATGGGAAACTCTTGCAGGAGATGATTCTTGTTTGTGACGCTTACAGAAAAGATCTTCAACATCCAAATGAATTCGTTAGAGGATCTACTCTAAGGTAGCTAATATTTCTTAGTTTAAACTCTGACAGCTACTAACTGATTCACTGATGATATCCAGGTTTTTATGCAAATTGAAAGAGCCTGAATTACTGGAACCCCTTATGCCTGCCATCACAGCCTGTTTGGAGCACCGTCATTCGTATGTACGTCGAAACGCAGTCTTGGCGATCTTCACCATTTACAGGAACTTTGAGTTCCTTATACCTGATGCACCGGAACTGATCGCCAAATACTTAGAGGGCGAACAAGATATGTCCTGCAGACGGAATGCCTTTCTAATGCTGCTACATGCTGATCAAAGTAGAGCTTTATCATATTTGGCGGCTTGCTTGGATCAGGTTCCTAGTTTCGGGGATATTTTACAGTTGGTCATTGTTGAGTTAATCTACAAGGTAAACTATCTTTCACAGCCATTTTTTATTCTGAAACTAAGTCAAATCAACCTAATATTTTTAATACTACAGGTATGCCATGCAAATCCATCAGAAAGAGCACGTTTTATCAGATGCATTTATAGTCTACTGAATTCCCCAAGTGCTGCAGTTCGCTACGAAGCTGCTGGTACACTGGTTACGTTATCCAGCGCTCCAACTGCAATAAAGGCTGCTGCATCTTGCTACATAGAATTAGTCGTCAAAGAGAGTGATAATAATGTCAAACTAATTGTTCTGGATAGGCTGATTGCAATGAAGGACAGTCCTGCACATGAAAGGGTTCTCCAGGATCTCGTCATGGACATACTCCGTGTTCTTGGTACATGTGATTCATCAAACCCAAAAGTACAACGAAACATTATTAATTAAACTTTCGGTTGAACAGGTTCTCCGGCATTGGAAGTTCGCACGAAGACCCTCGCCTTGTCTATGGACCTGGTGACCAGTCGTACCATCGAGGAAATGGTCCAACTTTTAAAGAAGGAAATCCTGAGAACTGCTGGCGGGGAACATGAGGATGCTGGGAGATATCGTCAACTCCTAGTGAGAACTCTCCATGCCTGTTCCATCAAATTCCCTGATGTAGCTGCTACTGTGATTCCAGTATTAACAGATTTCCTGTCTGAGAATAACGAGGCAGCTGCAACTGACGTCCTGGTCTTTGTCCGGGAAGCGATCCAGCGTTTCGAATCTCTACGCCCATTAATAATCGAGAAGCTTCTGGAAGTACGAAACACTATTAAGCAACAACCAATCTCAGCATACCTTTACTTCGAAAATCCGAAGCTCTTATCCATTTAATCTGTTACCAGGTCTTCCCTCAAATACGTTCAGTAAAAGTACACCGTGCAGCACTATGGATCCTGGGTGAGTATGCAACTTCGAAAGAGGATATAGAAGCAGTGATGAGCCGCATCAGGACTGCCCTGGGCGAGTTACCTTTGGTGGAAGCTGAAAATAAAAGACAAGCTGGTGAGAAACCTCCGGAGGACGGAAATACTCCTGCGACGCCAGCACAGCTTGTAACTTCCGACGGAACTTATGCGACCCAAAGTGCTTTTAGCACAGCTTCATCTGGTATTTAATCACTTTACAAACAAAATCAACATACTCCGTTCAATTCTTTCAATGTTATATCATTATTTGCAATAGGCAAAAAGGAAGAGAAACGTCCAGCTCTAGTTCAGTATATGATGGAAGGAGATTTCTTTATTGGCGCTTCTTTGGGTACAACCTTATCTAAGCTGGCACTGCGTTACAAGAGTCTGGAAAAAAATGCTAAAAAGAGTAACCGAATGCAAGCAGAAGCAATGCTAGTTATGTCCAGTGTACTACAATTAGGACGATCCGGGTTACCAAGCAAGGCTATGACCCATGACGACACTGAGAGGATATCTCTATGCCTGAGATCATTGGCTTGCCCAACTCCTTTGATACAGAATGTCTTTACCGAGGGTTGCCGCACGGCCCTTGGTCGAATGTTGGCTGCCAAGGCTGAGGAGGATTCTCAAAATCAAAAGGTACTCTAGAAACATAGTCAATACTTGATCGTAGAATCATAAAAAACAAACCCTTAATCACTGAACACGTACAGGCTAAGGAGAAACCAGGAAGTATCGTTCAGGTAGATGATGCCATACAATTCTTACAACTGAGCCGAAGTTCTGATTTGACCGGAGGAGCTGGTGATGTTTTCGAACAAAGTCTAAGTGCAGCGGTTGCTGGAAGACCTGGTTCAGGTGGAGACGCACCAACTCCTAGCGCCTTGAGCAAAGTTACCCAGCTCACAGGTTTCTCAGATCCGGTATATGCCGAAGCACTCGTTCACGTCAATCAGTACGACATCGTTCTGGACGTTCTGATCGTTAACCAGACCGAGGACACACTGCAAAATTGTACCCTGGAATTAGCAACAATGGGAGATCTGAAACTGGTCGAGAGACCACAGCCTATAGTGCTGGCGCCCCGAGATTTCGCAAGCATCAAAGCGAACGTTAAAGTAGCTTCGACGGAGAACGGCATAATATTTGGAAACATAGGTAATTTTCACTAGAGAAAGAAAAAGAAAATCGCCATCAAATCACTTAAACCCTCGCAATAACTCATTTTGCAACTTTTCTAGTATATGACGTCTCTGGCGCTGGATCAGATAGAAGCGTCGTTGTCCTTAATGATATTCACATTGACATAATGGATTACATAGTGCCAGCTACATGCACCGATGCGGAATTCCGCCAGATGTGGGCAGAATTTGAATGGGAAAACAAAGTATCCGTGAATACAAGTCTTTCGGATCTAAGGGAGTATCTGGCGCATCTGCTGAAATCTACGAATATGCGTTGTTTAACGCCTGAAAAGGTGCGTAAGCATTGGGTATTGCAATTATTTTTCATTAATCAACGATATATCAAAATTACGAAACATGTATTACTTTTTTTGTTAACCATTCAGGCACTTTCCGGACAGTGTGGCTTCATGGCGGCAAATATGTATGCAAAATCGATATTTGGCGAGGATGCCCTTGCAAATTTGTCTATTGAGAAGCCGTTGAATAAACCTGACGCACCTGTCGTTGGCCATATACGGATTAGAGCTAAGAGTCAAGGTATGGCCCTGTCTTTGGGTGATAAAATCAATACTGCGCAAAAGGAATCACAGAATAAAGTAGTGCAAGCGGCCTGAGGGATATTTCTGCCTTTGAGACAAGTCGTTGCTACCAAGAAGGTTTTACAACGACACGCGGCAACTGAGAGTCGACGGAATTCGTTATAGCATATTTGAACGGGGTCACATATTTTGGATACCTTTCCAGAACAGTATACAGTGCATCTATAGTAGAAAAAGAAAATCTGTATTGAATATTCCATTCATTTAAACTATATAACCACGAGAAATTATATATGTATAATTAATTACCATTAAGATATGGTGGTCCATGGAGAACAATGTATTTGTAGCGAAGAGAATAATAAATACACATGATTCATTAATTGAATTTCATTTTAACTTGACATCGATCCTTCAAGAAATTATAGATCATGTGTTTCGCTAAGACAAGACAAAATAGCACCCTGAGCATTTCAAGGCCTGTATACGCAAAAAACGTCTTTATAACTCTGAATTAAACATTTCAAAATGCTTCTTTAGACTTATAACCAACCGCCACCTCTTCTGGGAGATCTTATGGGAGATCTTCTGGTAGCTATCCGAGGTGATTTTGGTTCGATTTTAACCAATCTCTGCCTGTCATCTTTCTTTTGAGTTCCTAGTTCTGGTGTAACTGGAATAATAGCTACTTCTGGTAAGTTATTGGGACTTGACATCACTCTGGATCTGGGTCTTAACAAATTTCCATCAACGATAGAACTTGTTCCGGAAGCAAATACATTAGAGCACTGCTTCGTGTGTGTGCTTTCAGGGGAACTTCCAGAATTCATTGCTACATTCGAACTCTGTGTAATCTTTGACATATTAGATTGTTGACTATTGTTATCTCCAATTGGTTTTCTATTAGAGCAGTTGAAATTATAATTTGGTATTCCATTCAATCTTCCATTTGCAGTGCCAGCTATTGAGGATGATAAATTCTGAAGATTGCTCTTGGGTGCTTTTCTTTTTACCACACGAGGAGGACTTGTTTTCAAGGAGACTAAAGGCTGCGGACTCCTCTTATATTTCTCATCCTCATATCCCATAGCAGCTGGTGGCTTAGACTGCGTAAGCGCAGAAAATGTGTTTAGCATATAACCTATACTGCGAATCAATAATGATTAAGAGCAATAGTTTTCTATGCACATACCTGACTTGGAGAAACTTGAGGTTCCGGTGTAACAGACAATCTAGATGTATCAGGAAGTGATACATTGTTAGTCTCCACAATATCATGAAGGACATGCAAAATAGTAGCAGCTGTACTCTGCGGAAGGTCAACTGGACTGACAGGAGGCAGAGGACTCCTGTCAGTGAGTCTACGCGCCTCCTCCATGGCTCTCTTTAGACTTTGCTTACTTTGCAACGAGGCTCTACTATTGCTCTTACCAATTTGAGAGCTTTGTACTACGCTATTGACCACCTGAAGGATCTTCGATAAGATACCGTAACTTCAAAAGAATAACAAATATTAGCAAAATTGGATTTTCCCTACCTGTCCCCAACGTGCTTCTGCTGATCTAAGCACTGCCAGTCTTGCTACTCTTTTCCATCTTGCAATATTGTCTTCTCCTTCCAGAGGCTGCTGCAGTGCCAGTTCTTCCTGATTATCTTCGTCGGTTAATCCAGTCACAGGACCAGCAAACTGGTAGTCTTTCATCAGCCTCCTCTCCCAAACCCGCATCCTCTTTGCAGGAATTGCTATAAATATCTGTATTATTAAAACTAATAATGACAATTTAATTTTACTTACTTTTCTCCTTTGTGTCGATCCCAGCAATGTCCATTCCATTCTTCTCGAGGATGTCAAGAAGTTCACAACGCCAGGACGACAAGCTAGATTTCAATTCATGAATGTCGTCCTCAGTAACTGCTTCCATTTCATGCTGGGAATGTGCATTTACCACATACCTCCATACCAAAGCTCTCATGACGGCACTGTGTCTAAAATCAGAATAACAATGCATATAATCAAATCATTTAAAAATTATGAATTCAGTTTCTCTTATTTCTTTACTTGTGCTCCCTCGCTCGTCTCCGCATGCTATAACGTTTGGCAGCATTCTTTTTATAAAATCCACAAAGCCGCAAAAACATTTTTGGCTTTGGAAATATATTAAATGGGGGTGGAAGTGTACCACCTTCTTCAAAGTAACTCATCCACAATTTCGTCCTGGCAAATTTCCATTCAGTATCCGCATGTTTCTCGATCAGTGCATAACTGTTACTCATCATGGCAATCAGTAGATTTAAGAGAACAATTACATTGATAACAGAATAAGAGCCAAACATGAGAAGACCCCAGAATCTAGTATAAGACTTGATACCTGCAGCAAAAAGAAAACGACCATATAGACTAAACCAGAAGTTACAGGAAAATTTCTAAGTAGTTTTCCAATTACCAGTCAGTTCAAATGTGTCTAATCCAATTTCACCAAAACTGGCCCAAAACAGACTTTGACAAGATTCAAATAAGCTACTGAACCTACAAGAAAATTTGTCAAGTAAAAAAGTATCCCTTAAGTTTCTATACAGCAGCAAAATATAGACTCGTCAGATACCTTCGCCAACGTATACAAGCATTGCTCGCTGCATCCCATTCAGGATCAGAAATGCCACTGTAACACTTGCTTTTCTCCAGCTCAGCAAAGTACCAAAGTAATTGATGGAGGCCGCAAGCAAAGGCAAATAGAACGAGAGTATATATGAAAAAAAATTTGACAATATCAATGATCATTCTTCCAAGGGATATCTGCAGAGGACCAAGATGTGGATTTATGCTGAATAAATGAACAAGTTTAAGGGCGCTGAAGATATTAGCCGCAGCGAAGAGACCCTCAGCTATTAATTGAGGATCAAAGTCACCCCATCTTTCCCTAGGAATAAGAGCAGCAGATCGATCCACTTCTATTTCCGCCGTTTGCTGCATGTAAGCCGCCACTCTCAGAATGGCAGTGGCGACGTAGAGGGTGTTCCTGGTGAAGTCAATAAAGTTCCAAAGATCCCGGAGATAAGCACGTAGCCCATCAACGTATACCTGGTGTGCATCAAAGAGAAGATAAATATAAAAGGATATAAAATGAAAGAAAAAGAAGAACAATCTAATCAATAAAGATCAGTTTGAGCGATTGGACTTGCGACAGAGAAATCGATTGACCAATCGACATCTGGAGATATCGCCGTCTCTTAGCTATTACGCAACTGGGTATTTACCTCTCGCGTTTCTTGCCAGATGAATCCCACCACGTATATCACGATAAGACATTCCAATGGCGATGGACTACTACCACGTTGCTTCATCAGATCCTCATCAAGCAATCTGCTCGTCTGATCATTTCCAAATAATCTTAATACCTCCACCTCGGCTCTCTGCGATACCAAAATGAGAATCACTGCAAATTAAACACAGAAACTGCGTCAGCAATTACCACATTCTCTATTGCCTATAGCTATAATGAAGTTTACCTAGAATTCATTAGTTTCACTTACAAAGGAAGAATAGGTAGGCTGAAGCGTGAATAAGAAATTTCATGAATGGTCTACGCAATAGCTGACCAATCCTTGAATCTGGTGCCAGGAGATAGATGATACAGTAAAAAGGAAACAGTAGAGCAGTCTTGAGAATAATTCCGACACGTCGAATGCTGGACATCCTACGAAATCCAGGAACACCGTCGTACCTTGAATAAAAATATATCTACTGAACTGCCACTGTGCATTTCAATTGGACAGCGTAGTTGTAACTGTAAGATGAATTACCAAATAGCAGCTAGCAGTTGCTGCACATGTGCATGAGAAACAAAGCGCTTCTGCTTGTATTGAATGGCCAATTCCAATCTGGCCAATTGCTTAGGATTTTCAGCGCCATCCTCTTGCGGATCGTGATTTAGAATGGTATTTAGTTCTGCAGTGGTTCTGGCTTGTTGGAGCAAGTCGACAGCGAACCTTAACAAGAAAATGGAAAATACTTTGTTGACGCAACTCAACATGGATATCAAAAAGCGTTGCATTGTATTGAAAAATATTCAACACTCACTTCTCGACCTGTCTTCTTAATCTCAAGTATTCGACACGATTTTCCGGTTCAGCAATTGCTAGTTCTCGCAATTCCCAGCTTAATTGAAAGGCCGTCATTAACGGGTCCGAAGAACTCAGAGCGATCAAACTAGGACTAGCCAGTGCTTTGTATTCTGATATTCTCGTACTGGAAAGTCGCAGTGGATCACCTAGAAAAAAAAATCAGCGTCATTTCAGGCACAACATTCTTTCTAGAAACATTGAAACTTTAATTACGTAATAAGTTGACGTTCACCTGTTGCACAGCGTAAGCAATCATCACAGCCGCATTTGACGTCGTGAGGCATTGGGAGGGTGGCGCCTCTGTCGAGTAACAATTTCAAAATTTCATAATTATTACGCTGTGCCGCCAAGACCAATGGCGTCATATCCGGCGGATATCTTGAAGAAGCTGCATCGACTCTCTGCCAACTGTGTACGATCTCCTTGGCGTCGGGAGCTGAAACACGAAGTTGAGTTAAAATAAAAGTGAGTTTCCAATGTATTTAAATTTCACTAACGTTGCTCCTGATTTAATTCATTGGTCCTAAGCAGTTCCTCGTGCTCCAGAAGTAGTTCTACAGCCTCAACGAATTCCTGGTCGATAGCATGAAGTAGAGCGTCCTTCGTCTCCACTCCCATAACTACAAGGAGTTCCACCATTTCCAGATTCTCCGATTCTATAGCCAGAATTATTGCACTACGTCCTAAGCTATCCATGCAATTAACATCCACTGATTTTACCTAAACAAGCAATGAAAAATAGATACGTGCGACGTGCAGTACCGATATAAAGGTCAAAATATACTAATTAATCGGTTAAGTTTAAAGAAAAAAAAATCTCACGGTCACGTTGGCATTATTAGCCATTTGCAATATTCTCCTGACATTCGGTAGATCACCACGTTCCACGGCCAAAAGATATTTCTTCTCCTCGATATTTAGTGCTCGTGGAAGATGTAGAACGTAGTCATTGGTATCCTCCGGTGGTGCCTCGACCTCCTTGTCAGATTTCTCGCAACCCATCTTCACCCGGATGAGCCTCGTGATAGACTTTAAAAAAAATGCTCTAGAAAAACCGTCGCATCCAGCCACCAAGTAAACATCACACGGACATACGGATCCTTCAATTATATTATAGCGTGGAACAATCTGCGTAGAAATTTTACTAGAAGTCGACAGATAAATTTGTTATCTACTGCAGTGTACGCGAACTAAGAATGTGGGTTAGTTTAAACGCACACAACACCCCAGGGCCTCCTTATATAGGGGGTGGCTCCTAAATTGAATTGCTCGGCTTAACCGAGACCCTGTTTATTTCTGCTTATATTTATAGTAAAACGTGTATCAGCGCATCCCTGGCTTTGCTCTATAGGGTCGTCGCGGCTAATTTGCTTACCAATATCTCGTTAGTTGCTTACTCTATACCAGCAATGCCAGCAGCGACACTGACAGGGATTAGGAGAAAAGTAAAAGGTGCGGACGGATCACAGGGGTTTCTGGGAATTTCCTAGACCAATGAATATATTCTATATAATACGTTATGTGCCTAAATATCATGAAACCTATATACCAGCAACGATACAACACGAAAAATATTTTTTATCTAAGCTGGACTCTTTTCCCTTTTGTCCGTTCAAGGGACGAAGGTCTGGGCTGATTGTTGATCGTTCGAAATGCATCAGTTTGATAAGTATCGTTTTGAAGAAAAACAGAATTTTAGGAAAGTCCGTTCAGACTAACTCCCAACGGACTCTCGATCCTTTCTAGTACTATGTTATATCCACTCTTGAAACTCTCACAGCATCCTTTGGAAAAAAAGGAAAGGAGACTTCTCGATATCGCTTCGTATTATCTGGCCACCTTGACAGAATAGCAAAGGATTTGTCAAGTAGAAGTGAACGGATGCGTGTGGTGAGATGAAAGGCCTTAGGTCAGAAAAATCACAGTAATAGGGAAAACGACGACTGAGGACAACGTCGAGAAGGGATCCTTTGGGTTCCTTCAATTTTTCCTATGGAAAAGGAGTCTTCGGATTTTTGGCCAACATTAACCCTTAACTCGACTTGTACCGCCTGATAATTTATCCCGATTCTCTGTTCTTCAATCCCTACACTACAATCCATCCATTCTTCTCTTTTCACATCTTCTTTCTTTCTCAGTCCGTTCCGTCCCTCTTCATCGTTCAGCTGAAACCCGTTCTTTCGCTAGGATGACATTCTGCAAAAAGTCACACGAGGACCCGGGACATTTGAATTGCAAATAGACTCGTTTACCCTCGTCTCCTTCGTATTTTTAATTACAATCTTCCCCCAACTTTTCCGCAGAGTGGTTTAGAATTCTCAATCCTTTTCTACACCCCAGAAATAATACCTCATGAAAAATGTCTATTAACCTACTCGGATGACCTTGTCTCCCCCGTGAAACTTACAGTCTAAAGCGACCAGTCGAATTTAACGTTACTGCGAAATTGTCGCACTCCTCCAAAGTACCCAAACATTAGTAACACAATGCACATCCTTGGATCCTTAAGATTGAGACTTTTGTTACAACGCGTAAAAGACAGACAAAGACATTTTTCCAAAATTAATTCCTAGTCGTACGTTGCTCGTAAATTTAAAACAACTACGAGTATCAAAAGGACCGAAAGGATTGCCGGTACAGGACGACTTCAAGGACTTGAATTTTCACGTTGTGGGTTCAACGGAAACCAGAGGTGTTTGCATTGCGGCTTTACTCCCAGGGCTATCTCTCTGCTCGATGTTTGTCCAGCAGCCGCGTGTACCCAGCCTGCCGCTCTGCAATGTCCAGGGACTTCTTCTCGAGCTGTAGTCAAATCAAACGAAAAGATAAATAATTTTCAAATTTATTAAACTCCAAATTACATCAATCCTTATAATACTTTTTATTAGTCCGTCAATGTCGCCTCTTCCAACGTCTTGTCTTTGTCCCTTCATCAGCCTAAACGTGGTCCTGGCGTCCCAGCATCCCGTCGGGCGTTGAACGATTAACTTTTGGTACTTTACCACGGCCGATCCTTCGCAGATAGATCCTTGCAGTCTCGAAAGGTATCAGAGGTCTCATCGGTTTGCCGTCATCTTGAAAAATTACGCAAGGATGATTAGCGCTTTTAGTAAAGCATCGGACGTCAAACTTTTACTTATTAAAAGCTTCTTTGCTCAGGGAGAAGAGACGAAAGATGAGTTTACTTAGCTTTTTTTTTTCCCTCCAACAACCTTCATCCGTCGCGTCCTTTAGCCAAAAGATCAAACTACCTACGTTTCTCTTTTCCACTCCAGAAAAGAGACAAAGCGCCAAGAATCAATACTGGACGCGGGTCGTAGATCAAATTCAGCAATGCTCCATCTAAGAATCCAGCATCCCTGATGTTACCTCAAAAAAAAAAGAAAAAAATGAAAATTATGCACGCAATAGAACCCTCGACAAAAGAGAGGGAAAGTATAAAAGTAAAACTGTCTCTAATCCAAGAAAGAAAGTTCCATTCGTCCACGTTAAACGCACAAGTCGCGTACATAACGGCAAACGATTTATTGTCGAATTTCGTACAATACGATGTACGATACGATTGTACGAAAATTGTCTCAAAAAGAAATATTCTCAAAGTCAAAACCACAGGAATTCCGTAAAACTCATCTTCGACCTACCTCTTCGCATCAGATCGCTCGTCCAGGAGATCAAGTCAACAAAAAACTTCATAGAATAAACCAGCACAGCAAAACCAATGCAACTAAGTAAATCGTACAGATTCTCGGTGTGGACGACGATTTATAAATCCCATAAGAATGGCAGTGCGTTCTCGGTCGCTGTAACAGAATAAAAATTGCGTGTAATCAGGTAAAACAACAAAGCCCAAGAGTGCGTGCATGGGTGAAAGTAAAAGCGGAGAATTCTCAACGATGGATCTATCTGGATCATGATCCGGAGTGAGATGAGAGTCACAGATCGCGATTCTAACCGTGAAAAAACAAAAAGTGGTTCCGTCAAGCGTCCAGAGTCTAATAAAAACACGGAGCAGTCAAGAGCAGAGGAAGAAGAGGAGAAAGAGAAGGTAAGAGAGAGAGAGAGAGAGAAAAAAAAAAGGAGACAGAGGGATCCGGGAGTCATCGAAGGCGAATCGAATTGATCGATGATCGCGGGTATATCAGATGCTCGATCGATCAGAGCATCCCCAGTGATCGGTAAGAGAGCAACCAAAGCAGATAGTAAACGCGTAACTGGTTTCTCATTCGCGTGAAAAATAATTAATTACGACAAGAAAGATATCGGGGCGAAAATTCGTGAGGGGAGGGAATTCGATAAAAGACACGATAATAATTTTCAAAAAAAAAAAAAAAAAAAAAAAACCGTTAAACATGACCCGATTAATACTCGTGGTGTTGTTGGTAGGACTGGTAGGATCGAGTATGGCAGCCAGAAAGATCCGAAGAAAACCATTGAGATTCCGATACATCGAGGATCTGGAGGTGTCGGCGACGAAGCACGGTAACGCGAGGGCTTGACAAAGACATTTAAACTTTTATTTGTCCTCGCTACCCCAGCTGCCCGGGAATTTCGAAATTAAAACGTTCCCTTTAAAATTCAGGGATGAACGCACCCTTAAAGCGGCGTAAGTGCCTTAACGTTCTGTTTATCTTGGATTCGCAGGAGACGGAGGTGGCAGTAAACATCACGAGGAGGGCGGCGGCGCTGAGCACAAGGAGGGTCATCATTCAGCCAAGGGTGAAAAGAGTGACAAGGTATCGAACGGAGAGTAACGCGTGTACGCGCGATAAAGAAAGAGACAGAAGTAGTGACCTCGTGACAATAATAGCTACGGTCGCCATTAATAATTTTATTGGACGTCCAAGACCGATGGGAACCACAGTAACGGGTGATTGATTTTTAATAATGAATTTTTTTTTTTTTTTTTCCCCAGGAGTACGAGAGTAGCCACGAGTACGACAAGGCTGAGAAGGGTCATCACGATGAGGAAGATCACGAGCGCAGCTACAAGGAGAGGGGAGGGGAGGAGAGGAAGAAACACGAGGAAGGCGGCCATTACGGCGAACGTCATCATGGCGAAAAGGGGGAGAAGGGTGCGAAGTTTGACGAAGAGGGGAAACACCAAAAGGGACACAGTGTCAAGGGTGAACATAATATATTCAAAAAGGTCACTGTTTATGTCTGTTGGCAGGCTGTGATAAGGCAATGATAATATTTTATTGTTTGACCTTACGCAATCGTCTTTCGGTAGGACGAGTACGAGAAGAAGCACGATTTCTATGACGAGTACCACGAGGACGGGGATCAGGAAAAACATGGGGGATACCGTCATGATCACGAGGAAGAGAAGGGTGGACATTACAAGGAGGGTCATCATGATGGCGGCCGTCACGAGGTCTGTTTTAGTTTGAAATCCAATTGGTTTCTTATCTGGGATAAATTGGCGAAAAGGGACGCGGATTGGGATATAATTTATTAGGGAATTCTCTTACGTCCTGACGTCTGGATCGTTGATGTTCAATGCAGGAACACCATGGGAAGAAGAAGGAACACGAGAAAATACATCATCACGAGGAGGACAAAGGTCACAAGAAGGACGAGAGTCACAAGGGTCATCATCATCGCGAGCACAAGCATGGAAAGAAAGGTGGACACGAGGAGGGAAAGAAATGGGGTTACAAGAGGGGAAAGAAATGAATTGTCATTTTTCGGTGGGATCGTTGTCATGCAGTACCTGTATCGTTATTTAATTGTCCAAAGATATTTTTATTTTTTACGAGTACCAATATCGGGTCGCTATACTGCTAGTTTGTTTTTGTAAATAAAATACGGGGGGAAAGAAGAAAGGATGAAAAAAATCTTTTGATGCCTCCATGCAACTTTTAACGATCGTTCTTTTATGATTAATCATGCCCAATTGATTTAAATGTAAAGGAATTTTGTAACGGTTATCCTTTAGAAAGTGACTCGTGTGAAAGACACGTATAAACGAAGCGTAGAATGGTCGTTTCTAAGCATTTCAGAATTTTAGAGAGAAAGAGAGACGAACCGTCATCGATGATTTTATTGTCGACAAGCGACGGACGACGTTGACATTCTACGACTTGAGCAATTCTCTCTTGATCGCGGTGAAAAGTGAAAACGTCGAGCGTGAAATTGGTCGCGCTCGGTCAGTCAGGAAATTTGCAGTTCTATTACCCTTGTTATTTTATGTAGTTATCAATCGATTGTCGAGGCGAAGGCGAATCGATGCAATCGGGCGAGTTTCCAATTTCGTTAGAACCGATAGAAACGACCGCGTTCGTATGGACGGAGATAACCTCGTCTTGTTATACCGAACAAGAGAAGTGAAGCACGCACGTTATGTAAGAGAAAATTAAAAATTAAAAAAAAAAAGAGACAATCCAAGGCAAAAAAATGAAATTTTCAAAAATTTCCATCATTTTACCATGTACACACACTCGTATATTTCATCCCTTGTTCCTCTTACGGGCAGCCCGAGGGCGAGAAGAATTTATGATTAAAGTAAAATAGAAATAACGAGGGGAAAAAAAGAAGATGAAAACCAAGGAAGAAAAAAAGAAAATCGACCGTGACGGAGAGTGTGATTAAATCGAAATCATGTCCCATGCAGAATGAGAGTAAACGAGAGTCAACGAGAGGGAACGAGAAGGAAAGAGAGAAAATCAAATAAAACGAGCGTGGATGTAGTGCGAACGAACGGAAACGAGAGTCTGTAAAAGGCGCTAAAAATGCCGAGACGAAATTACTCTTCCAGGAAGTAACGGCCAGCTGTTCACTGGACATATCTACCGTCTCGTCTATGTACGTACGTTTGATTACGTGTCGCTTAGAAAAAGTCTGATTAAGCCTAGATCGAATGAACTGTCATGTGATATACATATACAGAAAGTCCGACGTATATACATGCATCAAATCCTTTCCAACCGATGGGTTGGATCCATTATAAAAGAGAAAAAAAAAAAAGTTCATTAGCTCATTTAGATTCGTTTCGGATTCGCACGAATAATTCAATTACCATAGTAAATGGAGCTTACCGTTCGGATAGACAATGTAAAACGATCGTTTTGTATCCGTCCAGACAATTCTTTCTGTCTCCTTACCAATTAACCGTGTCACACGTCGGCCATCTTGTCTATCTCCGCGCCGAATATAACTTTATTATGCGTTACGCAATGGCAAGTTCAATTCACGATAAATGTTGTTGACAAATATAGCCACGAATCAATTAACCAATAATCCAACACTGGCTGATTGCGAGTTGCCGATCATAGGAGTCATGGCAATTATTAATAATTCGCTATGGTTTCCTTTTGTACCACAGGCTTCGATCTCATCAATATGCAATTAATCAATATCGCCGACATTGAGCCAACATAACGTGAAACAATGCTCTAAACGATTTGTCAATTAATAAGAGAAACCTCGAGACCAGTGTTGGTACAAATTTTTAACAAACCACATTCACAAGAAACTATCGCCAGTCAAACGGTTATGCACAGACGCCGTGATTGCAGACAAACTACGGTGGACTCTCGATATTCACGATGTCAAGGGAACGCGCGATGAATACATCATCCGAAAATGATTTAACGTGATAACCGTAATGGACTGTCGAAACGAGGCCGAAAGTTACATTGCAGGATAACAATAATTCAGCGTAATAATTCTATTGGGCAAGACTTATAACAGGGGTTAGTAATGGACTTGACTAGGACGTCGCGTCAACACTACGTCGCGCGGCATCATAGCAGACGACGACAACGACGACAACGACGTCTGGTAGGATCTTGTGCAATCCTCGAGAGAAAGGAGGAAGCCGATCACGATTGTTCGCGGCGGTAGACGGGCGCTGGTTAATCGAATAATTACGCTCTGCGAAATTGTCATATCATTCGCGGGTGGGTTTCTAGCTTGCTCTGCCTCCTATAATTGGGAGTGCCCGAGCTGAATAGGGTCAGTCGTCCTCGAGAAAGGATCATGGGAACGAGAAGAAGGTGCAGAGCAGTCACGACAGGTGTCGTGCTGCTGTGTCTTCAGTTGGTAATGAGAACAATCATTTGGGATAGAGAGAAAAAAGAGAGAGATATATCAGAGATGAAGTTTCAAGACTGTGGACTAGTGATATTGTGTACTGATAGTATTTATATAAAAAAAAAAAAAAAACCAGTGAAATTCAAAACTGTCGTTGATAACTGTGCGACAAGGGATTCTGCGAAGGATTTTGTGATTTCCATCAGGGAGCTAGAGAGTGTAGGCTTATGTAATTCGTTAAAATCAAAAGGGTGGTGTGTTGTTTACAGGTAACACAGTGCTGCGCGAGTACCATTCTCCTCCTTAAGGATGAGGCTGTGCCTATCGAGAAGATCAGGGATACGATTGCTAGTCGGGATGAGAGGGAGGTCCTGGAAGCCGTAGCTTCCTCAGGAACTGTTATAATAGTGGATCCGCCAACTTCGACAAAGGATGCGCTGTCCATGGTGGATCAGGATGCAGCAGCGTCTTCCAATACCCAGACGCAGCATCTTCTGGATATGCTGTCGTCGGCAAGTGCCGAGGACATGGACGTCCTTGCAGCGACAACGTACGAGCCACAGAAGTTTCCTACGACGAAGAGGAAGAGGAAGGTGCAGGAGCAGGAATGGGAGGCTGTTCAGGATGCTCAGAGTATGGACTGACTCTTTCGTACTCGAGACAGGTTTTCGTTATAAATAAAAATTATATTGGCATTTCCGACAGGTGCCGTTGTTAAGAGTATTGTACCGTCGGCGGCGCTCACCGACGGCGTATACCAGGAAGTTCCGCGGAAAGTTAGAAGACAAAAAAATGCTTTCAAAATCGCTGAAACCCCTTCGACTACGGTGGCACCCGATGCGACTACAGTGAATAGACGAAGAAATCATTTGAAAAATTACAGGCCCATTTCGCCTATAGTGCCCATTGCTCCCATTGTGCCCTTTGGCTCCGTTGCTGAAGAGAGTCACGCAGCGGACGTGACGGCGCTTCCACAACTCAGTGACATAGTGTCCATCTTGGATCACCAAAAGCTTCAGGGTGAAGCCTTACCGGTTACAAGTGAGGGAATTGGAATATTGGCAAAGTACGGACAAGGTGGTGTCAAGGAAGCACAGGGTAGCGACCCAGTGAAATTGGAAGAACCGTATGTACCGTATCCGCGAAATAAGCCGAACGGTATTTCGCGAAACGGTCCATTGTTGTCCACACTACAGACCCAGGCACCGTTGGTGGTTGCTGATAGTGTGGAGAATGTTAAGATTGTTGAGAAGCCGTACCAAGTAGAGACTGCCGAGCAAACGGCCGAAGATCAATGGCATCCTAGTTACGAACATCAGCAAGAAACTGCAGAGTATAAAATTCACGAAAATCCGAAAGAGGGTCACGGCGGTGGAGGCCATGGACATGGTGGACATGGACACGGAGGTCATGGCAAAGATGGACATGGACATCATGGCAAAGATGGTCATGACCATGGACATGGACATCATGGTAAAGGTGGCCATGACCATGGACATGGACATCATGGTAAAGATGGCCATGACCATGGACATGGACATCATGGTAAAGGTGGCCATGACCATGGACATGGACATCATGGTAAAGGTGGCCATGGAGGCCATGGGCATGAAGATCATGGCAAAGATGGCCATGGTCATGACCATGGACATGGGCATCATGGCAAAGATGGTCACGGCAAAGATGGTCATGGAGGCCACGACGGCGGACATGGTAAAGGTGGAGGCGGTGGGGGAGACGCAGGCAAGGATCATAAATTTGAAGAAGGAGCTGGTGAAGAGCACGAGGAAGATCACCACGAATCTCACGGCGACAAAGGAGAAAAGGTATAGCTTATAAAACAGTTAAATTTTCAAGCGCGACACGTGTGACCATCATCTAGTACAGTAAATAAATCCCAATATTGACCAAAAGTTCAAACTCGCGCGCAACTTTAATAATTTCAGGAATACAAAAGCTGGCACGATTACGACAAGGGCGAGAAGGGTCACCACGACAAGGAGGCCGAGAGCCACCACTATGACGAGAAAGATGGCCACGAGAAGAAGCATCACGAGGAAGGTGGTTATCACGACTCTCATGATCACGGCGAGAAGGGACACAAGGAAGCCGAATTCGATGAAAAAGGTGAACACCAAGAAGGTCACAGTACCAAGGGTCAACATTCTGTCCACAAAAAGGTAATTAAAAGCACTATCCAAAACCGTCCCCCAACACACCTAACTACCGAGCACGTGTGAAACGCGAATTCCATATCCGCAGGATGAGTACGAAAAGAAGACAGAGTTCTTCGACGAGTTCGAGGAAGATGGAGGAATGGAGAAGGGTGGCGACTACCATCACGAACACGAGCACGAAGAGGGCGGCCACGAGAAGAGCAGTCACCACGATCATGGACATCACGAGGAGCATCACGGTAAAGAGAAGAAGCACGAGGAGGGTCACCATCACCATGATCACAAAGGTCACAAGAAAGACGACGGCCACGAGCACCATCATCATCACGATGAGAAGCACGGAAAGAAGCTGGACCACAAGGAGGGCAAGAAGTGGGCCTACAAGAAGGGCGACGATGGAGGATCCGGTGGCGGCAAGGAAGGTCACGGAGAAGGTGACAAGAAAGGTCACGGGGAAGGCGATAAAAAGGGACACGGAGACGGTGGCAAGGGTCACCATTAAGTCTAAGAAACCAAATGTTAAATACCAAACAGCCTCATCGCTCAAGAGATCAACCGGAACTGAAAATCTCAAGAGGGCCAACCTCGCGGGAGAAATTTCTTTCCCCAAGAAACGGAACCTCATTGATATACTCATATTGACGGATCATCATTATTTAGTATCTAATCTATACATAGTGCTTGTTGCAAACGTTGTTACATTTGTTGTGAATAAATAAATAAGTTACAAGTCCATCTTGATCCCCTAGTACATAATGGCAAAACGTGTCGAGGAGGATCGAGTGAGAGAGAGAGATAGAGCAAAAAAATAGATAATTTCAAATTCTAAAGAGCGACGAAGGTTATCTATCCAATATGACGTCAGCGTCGCCATATTGACATTTTTATTCATCCGCATTCCCGGCGACTGGTCATCTCTCTCTCTCTCTCTCTCTCTCTCTCTACTGTCAAAATGACAGTCGATTTATGATTCCGTTTCTAATCGACGTTATTAGAAGCCAGCTGCAGCACACGCTCCCGACCACGTGATTTATGTAGAGAATTGCGAAAAAGAAACTACGCAGTCGGCTTTCATCCACCAGCAGATACCACCTTGATCGCTGTGGGAAAATCAGCAACGCGCCATCGTCATAGACGATCCGATCCATCGTCACGTATTTTCCCATTTTCCGATAACCCCGTGAGAACTCTATAAATGTTCGATGTACAGCTAATGCATTGCTCAACGTCATAAGGATGCACCCAGTCATCCGCTCCAGTACCATAGTGCAGTATGCATTTCACAACATAACCTACCGCTTGGTGGATAAATTATATGAAAAAAAAAATATATATATATATATATATATTTTTTCTTCTACCTCACAAAATTCAACCCACCGCCAACCACGTGAAATTTTATCAATTCTTCGTTTACCAAGACCCGCCGCTCGTAACTATCGCTCATAAAGCAGCGACTAACCTGCCAGAGTCCATATTACCGGAGTGCAATGCATCCTGGACGATTCAGGAAGGTTTATGTCGCGCTCTCTTTAAAACGCTTTGCAGCGAGAGGGACCTGTTGCTGGCTGCGGCTACGGAATTCTACGTAGAGTCCCGAAGCCATTTAGTTTCGCGAATTCCCTAGGGATTTTCTTTTACGACCACAGTGCGTTCCCTTTACAGTCCCCTCCCGAATCTCAAAGGACGAGTGCCACCAAGAGGCCGTAAAAAGACTGCCGAGGATCTTCCTCGCGGAGAATGGTATTATATATATATATATATATATATTCTCTTCAAGGAGAATGATGAGAACGGGCATATATATAGATATCTGTATACTACAGCGTTACGCAATAGCATCGAGTACATGTTTTCTTTCCCGCCCTTATCAGATAATTGAAAAGTTTATTGCCCCATGGCTTTGTATCCGTGTGAATTTAACGAGATGGACGTTTGGCTTTTTTTTTCTTTTTCTTATGCCTTTTTTCATTTCTCATATCTGCACTAATACACGTCACTTTGTCAGGCGCAATATTTTTCTTTCTACCTGTTAATTTCAGCACCCCATAATACAGGGATCTGACATAAAGAGCATAACGGTGAATCCGAAAGCTTGGTGCGTCCCGGTTATGGGTGATAGAGAGTGATGGTTGATATTCAAATGACAAAATTTCCGACTCACCACTGCGTTCGAAGATACTGCTCGGCGCTTAGGGCGTCCCTGCACCTCTCGTCCCTTAGTAGGTTCGCTCCGTGTCTATTGCAACGGCGAACAACTGCGCCACCTGGCGGCACCCAGCTGAAGCTTCATACTCGCGACGTGGCTCAGCGATCGTACGTATGAAGACCCGCGCGATAGTTCGCCTGAAAACAGATGAAAATTGAATCAACGCTAAATCGCTAGGCGAGACATTCGGCCGCTTTTATTAAGCGGCCAATCTGCCAACCCTTACGTGAAAGGGGGGTTGAACCGCCAGTCGAGACTTAATTCGCTGTGGCAACTATCCTGGATATACTCTGCTCTTGTCTATTACCCGAGCAACCCCTCGCGGCGAACGTGCGTAACGATGCCAGAGGGGAGACGGGTAGGCCGATTTCGCAGGCTCTTAACCGTTCACCCCAAATTAAACAGGAACATCCCTCGCGACGGATACACGCGAGACAAAAAAAATCTACAGCATTCTAATTAACCCTATACCTATGAACTCTTCATTTCTTTTTTTACATCCACTTTGAATATTTTCAAACGGCCTAACCACCACCCCCTCCGCCCCCCGCCCGCTCTTCCAGAGTCCAGCAGACCCTTAGGGGTGGCAAAATCCCAGAATTGAACAGGGTACGAAATATCATGAAAAATCCCAATCAAGATGGACCCTCTCACCGAGATCTCAGGTGTTCGCGAGGCACCCTTAAAATTCATCCAGCATCTTCTTCGTCGTCCCTTTTGATAATGTCGACTGTTTTTGTCTCTTTCTATTCCATCATCCCCCGCCCACGTTTAGCGAGAA